TCTCGCTGCGGTCTCTATACGCGCCGGTCGTCCAGGCATAGCAGGCGTGGCACTTTCTCGACACCATAAAGGGGTGCGCAGGGGGTGGTCTCTCGCTGCGGTCTCTATACGCGCCGGTCGTCCAGGCATAGCAGGCATGGCACTTTCTCGACACCATAAGGGGTGCGCAGGGGGTGGTCTCTCGCTGCGGTCTCTATACGCGCCGGTCGTCCAGGCATAGCAGGCGTGGCACTTTCTCGACACACTAGGCGGTGCGCAGGGGGTGGTCTCTCGCTGCGGTCTCTATACGCGCCGGTCGTCCAGGCATAGCAGGCGTGGCACTTTCTCGACACCATAGGGGGTGCGCAGGGGTTGGTCTCTCGCTGCGGTCTCTATACGCGCCGGTCGTCCAGGCATAGCAGGCGTGGCACTTTCTCGACACCATAGGGGGTGCGCAGGGGGTGTTCTCTCGCTGCGGTCTCTATACGCGCCGGTCGTCCAGGCATAGCAGGCGTGGCACTTTCTCGACACCATAGGGGGTGCGCAGGGGGTGGTCTCTCGCTGGGGTCTCTATACGTCCCAGTCGTCCTGGCATAGCAGGCGTGGCACTTTCTCGACACCATAGGGGGTGCGCAGGGGGTGGTCTCTCGCTGCGGTCTCTATACGTGCCAGTCGTCCTGGCATAGCAGGCGTGGCACTTTCTCGCACCATAGGGGGGTGGCGCAGGGGGTGGTCTCTCGCTGCGGTCCTCTTACGCGCCGTCGTCCAGGCATAGCAGGCGTGGCCGGATCTCCGACACCATAGGGGGTGCGCCAGGGGGTGGTCTCTCGCTGCGGTCTCTATACGCGCCGTCGTCCAGGCAATAGCAGGCGTGGCAACTTTTCTCGACACCCATAGGGGGTGCGCAGGGTGTCTCTCACTGCGGTCTCTATACGCGCCGGTCCGTCAGGCATAAGCGGGCGTGGCACTTCTCGAACCAAGGGGGGTGGCGCAGTGGGTGGTCTCTCGCTGCGGTCTCTATACCGGCCGGTCCGCCAAAATGGCATAGCAGGCGTGGCACTTTCTCCGACACCATAGGGGGTGCGCAGGGGGTGGTCCCTGAGCGCGGCCGCTATCCGTGCCAGTCGTCCAGGCATAGCAGGCGTGTCACTTTCTAGACACCATAGGGGGTGCGCAGGGGGTGGTCCCTGAGCGCGGCCGCTATCCGTGCCAGTCGTCCAGGCATAGCAGGCGTGGCACTTTTCTCGCCACCAGAGACACCAGAGGGGGCGCATGGGTGGTCCCCAGCGCGCTGCTATACGGCCGGTCGTCCTGGCATAGCAGGCGTGGCCTTTCTCGACCACCAAAGGGGGTGCGCAGGGGTGGTCCCCTGAGCGCGCGGCTGCTATACGCGCCGGTCGTCCAGGCATAGCAGGCGTGGCACTTTCTCGACACCAGAGGGGGTGCGCAGGGGGTGGTCCCTGAGCGCGGCCGCTATGCACGACGGTCGTCCAGGCACAGCAGGCGTGGCACTTTCTCGACACCAGAGGGGGGCGCAGGAGGTGGTCCCTGAGCTCGGCCGCTATGCGCGACGGTCGTCCAGGCACAGCAGGCGTGGCACTTTCTCGACACCAGAGGGGGGCGCAGGGGGTGGTCCCTGAGCGCGGCGCTATACGCGCCGGTCGTCCAGGCATAGCAGGCGTGGCACTTTCTCGACACCAGAGGGGGTGCGCAGGGGGTGGTCCCTGAGCGCGGCCGCTATGCACGACGGTCGTCCAGGCACAGCAGGCGTGGCACTTTCTCGACACCAGAGGGGGGCGCAGGAGGTGGTCCCTGAGCTCGGCCGCTATGCACGATGGTCCTCCTCCCTTCTCTCCTCTTCTCCTCCTCCTCCTCCTTGCCCTCTACCTCCTCTCCAGGAGGCCGACCTGGCTTGTCCGTGCTCGGCCGCCTTAGGTGTCTCGTGCTCGACCGACCTGACTTGTTCGACCGCCTTAGGTGTGGCGTGCTGGATCAATCTGACTTGTTCGACCGCCGTAGGTGTCTCGTGCTGGACCGACTTGACTTGTCCGACCGTTGGACAGCTCCGCTCTCGTGCTCGACCGCTTTGGGTATCCCGTGCTCGCCCGCCATAGGTGCACAACGAGTACTACCAACACAACGAGTACTACCAACACAACGAGTACGACGACGTCGAGTGCGACGACGACGAGTGCGACGACGAGTGCGACGAGCACGACGACGAATGCGAAGACGAGTACGACGGCGAGGTACGACGACGAGTACGATGACGAGTAAGACGATAGAGCGGCAACGAGTACGACGACGAGTACGACGAGTACGACAACGAGTACGACAACTACGACGACGATTCGCGACGAGGGTTTAGAACGCAGCATTGCGCATAGATGATAATGACAAGCAAACACATAAAATAACAAGTCAGTATGTGGGGTTTCTCGGTAGCGTAATGCTGGTTGTGCTGGTGGTGCTGGTCGTGGTGGTGCTGCTGGTCGCTGTCTCGGTGCTGCTGCTCCCGGTTGCAGTCGTGGTGTTGCTGGTCGCTGTCGTGGTGCTGCTGGTCGTGGTCGTGGTCGTGGTGGTGCTGCGGGTCGCTGTCGTGGTGGTGGTGCTGCTGGTCGCAGTCGTGGTGGTGCTGCGGCTGGTCGCAGTCGTGGTGCTGCTGGTCGCAGTCGTGGCGCTGCTGGTCGCAGTCGTGGGGCTGCTGGTCGCCGTCGTGGTGGTGCTGGTGGTTCTACTGGTAATGGTGGTGGTGCTGCTGGTCGTTGTGGTGCTGCTGCTGGTTGCAGTCGTGGTGGTGCTGGTCGTAGTCGTGGTGGTGCTGCTGGTCGCAGTCGTGGTGGTGCTGCTTGTGCTGGTGGTGCTGGTGGTGCTGCTGGTCGTGGTGGTGGTGGTGCTGCTGGTCGTAGTCGTGGTGGTGCTGCTGCTGGTCGCAGTCGTGGTGCTGCTGGTCGCAGTCGTGGTGCTCCTGGTCGTGGTCGTGGTGGTGCTGCGGGTCGCTCTCGTGGTGGTGGTGTTGGTGGCGGTTCTGCTGCGGGTCGCAGTGGAAGCGATGGTGCTGCTGGTCGCCGTTGTGGTGGTGGTGGTGGTGGTACTGCTGGTCTCCTCGTGGTGCCCGCTGCCGTGTCGGCGGTGCTCCCGGCGCTCGTCGGAGCCCCCCGGGGCGGCCGTGCTGGCCGCGGTGCCAAGCATCAGGGGCGTGCTGGCAGGCGGCTAGCGGGTGGGCCGGCGGAGTCTGCGAGCAGCTCTTCGGCCAGGTCTGGGTCGTCCTCCCCGGCGGCTCCCCCCAAGGCTAGGTAGCCGTCGCCCGTCAGGGTGGCCATGAGCGAGTCCTGGGCCGCGACGTTCAGGAACCCCCACCAGCGGTTGGTGTACGCGAGCTCCGCGGAGCGGCGGAGGAGGGCCGGCGCGGCTCGCGCCTTCTGCTTGGCAAGCAGGCGTACCAGCTGGAGGGAGTCGCGGCCCCACCTGCCTCCGACCTCGCAGGAGAGGACCATGAGGCGGCCTGAATGGCCGGTCGTGAGTTCGTGGTACCTGCGTCGTTTGCGCCTTTTCGGCCACAAGTAGCGCGGCGCCGTCGGTGTCGAAGGTGCGCGGCCGGTGCCAGCCGTCCCTGCGGAGGGGGGACACCATGGTGCTGTCGCAGCACAGCGGGACGCCGTTCGGCGAGATGCCGTAGACGACTAGGTCTAGTTGTCTGCGGTCCAGCGGGTTGTGGAGAACGGCGTTAGTGTCCCGCAGCAGCTGTTGGGGGACAACTCTCCCTCCTGCTTCTCTGGCGACCCTCGCCCAAGCTCGTTCGAGCGGTTTCGCGCGTCTGGCGAGAAGCCCCGTGCGTGGGCACGCGGCTAGGTGGTCTCCCAGCGTGTCCAGCCGGGCCCGGCAGCCTGGGTGGGCGGCTGCCCCGCACGTGTGCGGGAGGAGCGGCAGCGGGAGCCTGAGGCGCCGGCGCAGGGCTGCCAGGAACCGCGCGGGCTTGAACACGTGCCCCTCGGTGGTGGGTAAGGTGTGAAGCCAGTAGGCGGCCCTCGGTCCTGAGCCTGACCTTAGCATGGCCGGGTTGGCCCTGGTGAGGCTGGGCATGAGCACGTTGTCCCTGTAGTGTGTGTTGCGTGCGGAACAAGCGTGGAACTGCCAGCCGTGCTGTCATTCCCCCGGTTCGGCGGCCTCCGAGCGCGGCGGCGCTTCTGGGCGCAGCCCCTGGAGCAGGTCGGTCCAGGAAGGTCTCCGGAAGCCTTCGGTTTCGAGCAGCTGTGCGGCCGTGGCGGCTGCGGCAAGGTTGCCCCTACGGCCGGGCCTGGTGCCGTCGAGGAGGTCCCTGATCGCTGCAGCTTCAACGGGGCGCCGTTGGTGGAGCATGTGTAGGGCGTCTGCTCAAGCGCCCCAGTAGGCCGCTGGGGACGTGCGCGCGGCGCTTTGGAGCCCGAGTCCTCCGTGTCGTCCAGGCGTTGCTGCCAGTGCGCGCGCCCGTCGCCCTTCGTCTTGCGACATTGCGGGGTCCCCGAGGAGGCGGGGCAGGGTGGCCCACATGTCGCCGTCGCGGCCTCTCGCGTATTCTGCGATTTCCTCTGGCGGCAGGGTTCGCAGCAGGTGGTTGGCCCGCGGGGAGGCGCAGAGGAGGAGGAGGAGCCAAGCGTACTGTAGGTCGGGCAGGTGCGCCAGTTCGTCCAGGAGTCTCCTCTCTTCCTGTAGTCTGTTCTCCAGGTGTACGGCGACGAATTCGAGGGTGCTTAGGGGGGTGCCAAGGATCTTGATTCCTCGGTCGGGTTGTGTTCTGCCACCCCTCCAGACGTCTTGTCCCAGCTCGCCAATTCCGGGCGGCGCTGCGCCTCCGCCCCTGCTGTAAGCCCGGCACTTGCCAAGGTGGCACTCCACGTCTGCGTGGAGGTGAATTGCTCCGGTGGTGGTGTCGAAAGCGGCTCTGGCCCTGGCCCGGGTGGTCTTGATGTACACGTCGTCCAAGAAAGCGACTAGGAAGTCCCCTTGCTCTAGGGTCCTGGAGGCGCCCGCCAGCGCTCCGTGCAGGGCAAGAGCGAAGAGGGCTGGGGCCAGCGCGTCCCCCTGCTCCACTCCCTCTCCCTGGTGCACGTCGTGCACAGTCCCCATTTCGTCTTGCCAGAGGTATGTGGAGTCTTGCCCGTACCACATCTTCACGAAGGGGATTAAGCCGGCCAGCTCTGGGCGAGCAAGGAGCTCCTGGAAGAAGGCCGACCTCGACACATGGTCGAAAACCCCGACTCCATCGATGCTGACAATCACTGCGTCATCGTCGTGGTCCAGCACTGACCTCAGCAGCATGGCGGCGCAGTCGGTTCCTGCCCGCGTCGTCCGGGCGAACTGGAAGGGCGCAGTTGCGGCCGCGAACTGCTCGGCGAACTGTTGAGCGAGCGCCCTGGTGACCAGTCGGCGGAAAACGTCGCCGGTGGCGATGCCCCGTACTCCGTTGTCTGGTTTCTGGAGCGCCGTCATCTTGCAGAGGGCTAGAGCGCGGGCAATCGGGGAGGGCACCCGCGCCTCCGCGAGGGCAGCGGCGGCGAATCCAAGCAGGTCCATGGGCTCTTCGTGTTCCAGCAGCGGCTTGAGGTGCTCAACGCGGACCCCCGACGGTCCTGCTGCCGTGCCCTTTTTGGCGGACCGGAGGCAAGCGAGGAATTTGGTCTTGTCGAGTCTCGCTCTGTCGGTTGCGCGGTCTAGGTTGGCGGGTAGTCGGCGGCTCAGGGTAGGCGGTCGGCGGGCCGGGTCCCGCAGCCTGTTTAGTGTCTCCCCGTTGCCGGGCGCAATCGCCGCCGCGGTCAGGACCTGTCTCCCCCGTGACGGGTTGCCGTTTCGGACGTGCGCGCAAGCCTGTTCTCTGCGTCTCTCCTGCTGTTGCTCCTCTGTGGCTGGCCTCGGCGCTGCGCGCGCGCCGGCCGTGGTGTTGGCCTCGCGTAGCAGGGCCAGCCAGTCGCCCTGGCGGAACCGTTGGGAGCGTTCCAAGAGCTCTTGTCGGCCCTCGGCGTCGGTACCCCTGGGCTTGCTTAGCAGGAGCCTCGAGGCGAGGAGGAACAGTGTCCATCCTTGGTGGGTTGTTGCTTGGTTGCCCTGGTCGTGTCCTCGCTTGATCCTCTTCAGGGCCGTGGTGAACGCCATCCGGGTCTCCGCGCGCAGGAAACGTGGCACGTTCTGTAGTGTCGACACGAATCTCCGTAGCTCTTGTTGGAGGTCGATGCTCCCGAGAGCTGCCCAGGACTCTTCGGTGGGTCCGTTGCTCGGGGCTGGGGCCTGCGCTGGTTCGGCCTCGTGGTCGGTCTCCTCGGTGCTGGAGTTGCTGCCGCCGTCGTTGGGTCTCCCTCCTCCGCGCCCGTGTTTCCGCCGTCGCTGCCGCTGCTCGGGCTTCCTCCTCCCCCTCCTCCGCCGCCTCGGCCTCTTCTGGCGCCTCTTCCTCGTCTGCTTTCTCTGGCGCCTCTTCCGCTTCTGTCTCTGGGGGCGCCTCTGCCCGCCACGGCGGCAGGGCCGTTCGCGTGCTGGTCTCCAGGCAGCTCCGGCTCCTGGGGCGCCTCTGGCGGTGGGGGCGGCGGCGGAGGCGCCGCGTCTGCCCAGAAGCCTGGGTTGCGCAGCTCGTTTGTGCGTGCGTCAACTCCTCGTGCAAGCGCGCCGCCGCCGAAGGCTTCGAGGAGGAGGTCTTGCACCAGCGGCTGTATGTAGCCGGTGCTGCTGTGCGCCACGGCCTGGGCGACTGGCGCAAAGGATGCGTGGCCTGGGCGCTCTCCTCCGTCTGCAGCAAGCACCGCTGGTACTTCCCCGGGCCGGGCGTCGGTGTACGCCAGCATTTGGACAAAGGGCCCTGTTAGTACAGGTCCTGCAAGCCGCAACGTCTCTACCGTCGGCTGCCACCAGGCCTGTGTGATGCTCACTCCACTGCGCCCCTTCGCTTGGATCTAAAAGCCCGGCGGCCGCTAGCAGCAGGGGCACGTGCACTGCCGAGTTGGTGCGTGCCTGGAGGGGCGCTTGCGGTGGGGCACAGCCGGCGAAAGGGCTGTGTTGTGGCGGCCTCGCGGCGGCTCGCTCTGGCCCTGGTGGGGGGGCTGGTGGTGGTGGCTCTGGCCCTGGCGGGGCTGGTGGTGGGGCAGAAGGCACTTCTCTGGTCCATGCGTCTGGTTCGCACAAAGCGCACCTCCATTCGCCTTCGGCCCTGCTGGCTTCCGCGGTCCACGTGCCCTGCTCTAGGCACCTCGCGCACATCTGTTGGCCGCCCTGTGGCGCGATCGTGTCGACAGCGCAGCGCGCCCCGCAGCGTGGGCAAAGCCATGACTCAAGCCACTGCGTGATCATCCCGTTGGGGTCGCGTGCAGCGATCTCCGGGGACCATTCCATGCGGCGGTCTGGCACTTCGGAGAATTCGGGCGGTGGGCCGAGACGTCGGCAGCAGAGCGCTCGGAGCAGCGGTGGCTCCCGTGGTGGTGGTTCTTCGCCTCGCGCGTAGCTCCGAAACCCATTGTAATCTGGGACGGCCTGGGCGCTGGTGTCGTGGGCCGGGGGCGGCGGTCGGTTTATGTCCACGCCTTGCGCGGCGCGCCATGCCCGTAACTCGGCGGTGGTCGGGGGTCTGGCTCGGCACTGCGGGCAAGTGGTGGCTTCGCCAAGGTGGCGGGCCAAGTCGGCGCGGCAGCCCAGGTGGAAGTGGGCGCCACAGCATGCCTCCTGTGTTGGTGTGTCCCTGCCCGCCCCATGGTGCGGGATCACTTCCTGGCAGACGACGCAGATGTTGGCGTCTTCTGCCGGCGCTGGTGGTCGGTCTGGCTCCTCCCGCGCTGTTGCTGCCGCTTCTGCTGCCTCGCCCTGCGTGTCGCCGTGCGGGGCGAATAAGCCCGCAAAATTCCATCCGCCTTCTGGCGCCCTCCCGAAGACGGTGCCAAAGTGGTCCGGCACGGCTGGCGCGGCTGGCGCGCCAAGCTGAAAACCTGCGGCTTGTAGCCGGAGCAGAGCCCGTGGTGGGGTCTCTTCCTGCGACGGGATTGGCGCCGCGCCGCCGGGTGCGTGCTCTGGCGACTCTGGTGGTGACGTCGTGTGTCTCGGGCGCGGTGTTCGGGGGCTGTCCCCAGGTGCGTCTGGAGGTCCTGGGTGGCTGGCCTCGCCCACTCGAACGCCTCGGTAACCCCATCGCGCGTCGCGGCAGCTTTTGGAGGGGTTGCGCTGGTGCTGCTGCTCGTGGTGGTGCAGGTCGTGGTGGTCTTGGTCGCTCGTTGTGCTGTGCGCCGGTGTTCTTGCGCGTGGTGCTGGTCGCGGTCGTGGGCGTTGTTGCCGCTGCGGTGTTCCTGGTCGCGCTTGTGTTGCTGCGCGTGGTGTTGGTGGTCGCGGTGGTCGCTCTGCTGGTGCAAGGTGCTTTCTGCTGCTTCTCCTGCTGCGGCCGCCCGTATGCGCGCGGCTCTGGTGCGAGGGCTTGCCCTCTTCGCCTTTGCGCGCCAGGTAGACGCGGTGGCTCCCGTTTCTGGGAGCTGCGGGGCTGCCGGTGTGAGCAAGGGTGGCGGGAGGGCATTGGCGGTAGCTGCAGTTCTGCGTTGCCCTTGTCGGCCCGGCGCGGGCAGGACGTGGTGGGCTGCCACTGGACGGCAGTGGCAGCCTCGTGTTGGCAACGCTCTGCGGTCCCCTTGCTGGCGTTAGCTCGGCAGCGTTCCTCTTCCGCTGGCGGGCGCGTTGGTGTGCGCTCGGCTGCAGGGTCGGGCTGTCTGTCTCCAGCGTCCCCACCCCGGCCTGCATCATGACGGCCATTGCGCCTTCGTTTGTGTAGTCCGGTCTCGTGTTGCGTCCGAGGAGCGCGCGCAGGAGCTTTTGGATGCAGTCTCGCGTGCTTGGTGTGGATGAGTCGTGGTCGGTGTTGTGAGCTTGGAAGTCGGGCTGCGTGGTGGTTCGCTCTTCGATTTTTACGCTGCCCCGCGTCGCGTGCCGCCTCAGGTAGAACCGGTCCTCGAGGTAGGTCTGTCGCCTGGAGAAATATTCCTGCTGCCGCATGGTCTCGGCATGTTCGTGGTAGGCGTGTGCCTCTCTGTTCGCTCTCTCCCTCTTCTCGGCGCGGCGTCTGGAACGACGGTGGTTCCTCGTGGCGCACCGAGTGGGCCAAGGCGAGTACCCAGCGCTGCGGAGTCTGAGCGTCTGGAAGTCGACCGGTGGGTCTGCGAGTCTGGGTCGGCTGTCTGTGTCTTCGGGCGGCGGGGCAGGTGTGAGGCTGTGCTCGCCTTGAGCCAGGTGGCGGAAGGGGTTCAAGCGGAGGGGTTCATCAGCAGCAGCAGCAGCAGCAGCAGCAGCAGCAGCAGCAGCAGCCCACCACTCCGCTGCCACCAGCCCCACGACCACCACCACCACCACCACGACACCATCACCACCGCCACCACTTCCAACTCCACCACCACCACCACCGCCGCCGCCGCCGCCGCCGCCGCCGCCGCCGCCGCCGCCGCCACCACCACCACCACCACCACCACCACCACCACCACCACCACCACCACCACCCACCACACCACCACCACCACCACCACCATCCACGACCACCACCACCACCACCGCCACCACACCGCCACCACCACCACCACCACCACCACCACCACCAACCACCACCACCACCACCACCACCACCACCACCACCGCACCACCCACCACCGCCACCACCACCACCACCACCCACCACCACCACCACCACCACCACCACCACCACCACCACCACCACCACCACCACCACCACCACCACCACCACCACCACCACCACCACCACCATATCACCACCATTACCACCACTACCTTTCAGGCGCTCTGCCTCTGGCCTGCCGCGCTGCCTCCATCAGGCGTTGCGTCTGCGACTGCGTCCGCCATCAGCTCCATGTGTGCAGTGCGAGTGGGGCCAGCAGCACTGCGTGTAGTAACGCCACGTGCGGCTCCACAAGCGCAGTAAGCAGCGCCTCCGCGAGCGCCGCGACTGCGACCGGCAGCGAGCCCCTGGCTGCCATTACTTCCGGGACCAGCAGCGCCACGCGCAGTTGCGCAAGCGTAAAGAGTAGCAACGCCGTGACACTTACTGTTGCGACCGTCAGCAGCACCGCAGCAAATATTCCGATTTGCGGCTGACAGCACCAGGCGCAGCAGCGCCAATGCAACCGGCGACGTCAACGCGACCACCGCGGCTGCGACCGGCGGCAGCACTGCGGCGGGAACTACGGTTGGGGCAAGGACAACAACGTGCGACGACACACGCGCAATGAGCTTTCCCACCACTACCACCGCTAGCCTCACTGCGTTCGGCAGCAGCACAACGGTGGACGCTGCGATTGGGGCGAGCAGCCTCGCGCGCAGCAGCGCCAGCGCAATGAGCAACGCCATCGCGGCCACCGCGATTGCTATCCTCCCCGGCGCCCGGCTGGGCACTGCAGTTGGAGCTCGCAGACTGCGCGTAGCAGCGCAAGCGCATCGAGGAGTACTGCAACTTTGACGAGCGCGAAGAAGCCCCGTCGCACAGAAAGGGAAGAGGAAGGGGGGAGGGGGAGAGGGGGGAGGGAAACAGCAGGAGCTTTAGCCCCAGTCAGGTGGCCCGACCAGCGACGCGAGCCACTGGCGCAGCGCGCCAATCTCCCTCGGCCTTGCCGGCCCCATCCGCAGGGGAAAGCAGGGGCGCAGCAGCGCGGGGTGGCAGCGAAGTGGCCCAGCCTGGGCAGCGCCAGGCAGCCAGAGCCAGCCACTGCGGGGCCGCCGCGGCGCGCTGGGGGCAGGCGACCCAGCCGGGGCCCTGCGATGCCGCGCGCGGCGCCCAGGCGCCACCTCCGAAGAGGGCCTGGGCGGCTTCGGCGGCGCCCCGCTGCAGCTAGCCTTGCCCCGCAGCCCGTGGCGGGCGGGGGCGCCGCGGGGGTGGCGGCGGCCTTGCTGGCGCGCGGGGCCGCCGCCGCCTGCGCCAGCTGCGCCCTCTGTTGGCTGTGCCGGGCAGTGAGTGACTGCCGTGGCGGCCCGTTTGTCCAGCGCTTGCGCACCTAGGTGCCGCCGGCCCCGCGCTCCTGTGGTTCGCCTGCAGCGCAGCCATTTAAACGGCCACCAGCACCCGCTGGGGCACCACTGCAGAGGGCGCGCAGCCGCGCCTGCCGCTGCGTGCAGCGAGCAGGCGCGGGGAGCTGAACGCGCGCCGCGGCCCTCGCCAGCTCGTCGGCGTCCGTGCTGCCAGCGCGATCCTCAGGCGCGACGCCCCTGGCCGCCGCGACTTCTACGCCGAGGTGCCCTTTCACCTGGCTCGCTGCGATGTATCCGGGAATGCGGCGTCGGGAGCTCCCGCGAGTCCGCGCTCGTCCACTCGCGGGGATGCGCGCTGGCATACAGCGCA